TGAGATAAAATGGTGCCTTTAGGGTCTGATGATGACGGAGGGGGGCGGGGTTGGATATCTGCAGTAGACCTCGACACAATCCGCAGTTTACCCGTTTTGGATTACTCAAAACCCGCCAAAAATGGATTTTGGATCTCTCACAAAAACTCGTGGATTGGATTTTGAATCTATATTTTAATTTATAAATTTTTTTTAGATATTTATGGGTTCATAAACAGTGCAAACATATTAAAACACATAATAAACATTATTTATATAATTTAAAATTGTATTTTTAAATAATTTGTTTATAAATATAATATATTTTACAATTTATTTTAAAAATTATATTAAAAAATATTTATCAATTAATTTAATAATTTTTCAAATTTTATTTAATATTCAAAAAAAATTATTTTATTATAAATATTTTTAATTTCTCTTTGATAGTCTCTATAATAATTCAAAAAAATAAATTTTTTTTTTTATATTCATAATTATAACCAAATTAAATCATTAATTATAAAATATTTGTTGCTTTTATAAATCCAAATATTATTTTATTTTTTTTATTATCATTAATTGATTCAAATTCTTTTTCAAAAAAATATACATTTTTTTTGTTTAAATTCTAATTTTTGTTCAATCAAATAAATTTTACAAAATTCATATTTTTTATTTCAATTTTAAATTTAATTATACATTTTCAAAACATAAATTTTTGAATTATGTTCACATTGAATAAATTTTAACAATAATGACAAATATCGCGCGCAAAATTAGAAAAACATTTAATATTTATTCTAATAACAAAAATAAAAACAACATCACACGCAAAAATTATAAAAATTTTGTTTATAACAATCAATTTAGTCCTTTTCATTTTTAATTTAATTTTTAAAGAATTGAAATTTATTCTAAAAAATAAAAATTATTTTAATTACAAAAATATTGTCATAAATTTAATTTGTTTAAAAATAATAAAATAAAAGCTTGTTTTTTACAACATGAAAAATAATTAATATTATTTTTTTTACGAAATTTTTTGTCATTAAAACTGACAAATTAACTTTTTAAAATAATCAAAAAACATATTGTAAATATCAAAAACAAAATAAATAATTACATTTTTTAATTTTAAAAAAACTATGATAAACTTAAAAAACAATTAAATAATTTAAAATAAATAATTAATTTAATATTAATGTTTGTGATCAAATATAAAATAAAAAAATTCATATTTTAAACAAAATTGATTGAATATTAATCGAAAATATTTTACATATCAAAATATTAGAAATGTTAAATTTTAACACGTGCAAATATTCTGAATAAATATAAATTTATATATATTTGATTATAATTTATAAAATTGATTTTAACATTATAAATTATTATTAATATACACAACAAAATATCAAATTTAAAGAAAATTAATAAAATAACTTTAAATAAAAATAATAATTAATTTTATCAAACATTTTAATAATTTCTTTTTTTTATATCAAAAACAAAATAATTTAATATTTTTTCATTTTTTTTCAACAATATCATTTTTTAAAATTATTTTCATCTCTTCAAACATTTTTTTAAAATTTAATTAAATAACATAAATAAAACATAAAATACAAATTATAATTATATTTTCATTTAATTTGAACATTTCAAAATAATTTTAAATATTTGTTATTAAAATATTATTATTGAATACATTATTTATTACGATTACAAAAACACAATTTATAAATTGATATTTTTTAAAAAAAATCTATAATTATAATATTTAAATTAATTTTTAAATATATTTTATAAAATGATTCAAAATCGAAAAACATCTTTTTGTAATTCTATTAATCATCAATAAAATATATAATAATAATTATAAATGCATTTATGAAAAAAAATTCAACAATTTAAAACAAGCAATATTTTTTCATTAATAAATAATGTTTTTAAAATCTTTTTCTAACATAATGTGATTTTAGAACTTATATATTATTAAACGATTTTTGATATAAAAAATTCAAATTGCAAAATCATATGTTGTATTATAAAAATAAAATTACAAAAATCAAAATATTTAAAAAATTTTCACAAAAAATTCGAATCAATAATAAATTAAATCTATATATCTTTTTAAAACTTTTATATAATAATTTATTATAATATAAATACAAAACTCTATAAAAAAATAAATAATAAAAAATTATATAAAAATTATAATATATTAATTGTATGAATTATTTAATTTTTAACATTTTAATCACTTATCAATATTCGATTTTTTTTAAATGTTTTGTTATCATTAACATTTCATTTTTGAATTTTAAATAATCAAACAATATTTTACATTATTCACATATAATCTTTAGAACATTTGTTTTTGTATTTACAATCTATTCAAAATAATTTCATATTACAAACAAATATCAAACATTTCATTGAAATCTTTTTTTTATTCAAATTTAATTTATAATCATTATATTATAAATTCATTTTAATTGCTTATTATTATAAAATAAATTGAATATTACATAACACAATTAAAACAAATATATTAAATCAAAATTAAAAATAACAAAAAAAATAAAAACAAATAAATAAATCCAAATTTTGTAAAATTAACAATTAAAAATATAAATATGAATGTTTGCTTTAATTTTTTAATAAAAAACAAAAATTGTTTAAAAATATTAATTAAAAAAAAATTAACATTATATAAAAATAATGTATAAATATTAAAAAATTGAAAATTCTAATTTTCAAATTAACTCTGAAACATTTTAAACAAAATTTATAAAAAATAAATTGTGAACAAAAATTATTTTAAAAATAAAAAAAATTAAAAAAAGAATTTATAAAACTATAATCTTTTATTTTGATAAAAATGAAAGATTTCTGAACTTTTGAATAACTTTTTAGATCTTTATTAATTTGTGATTTATTATATTATAATTTATGTGAATGATAATTATTAAATAAAATAACAAATTATTTATGTTTTATTTATGAAAAATTCATTGATTTGTGAATAATTTACAAATTATTTATTTTTAATTTAAAATCTTTAAGTTCTGTTAATACAATTTTATAACATTCGTTTTTTCTTATTTTTGATAAATATAAAATATATACAATTTTTAGATCTATAAATAAATGCTATAAATTTATTTTATTATTAAAACAAATGCGTATAAATAAGAAATGACAAAAAAATAGAAATAATATATAATAACAAAAAAATGAAATAATAATTTTCAATAAATAAAATATATTTTTATTTTAATTGTTGTAAAATATTACAACATTTTTCAAATAACATTTTATTATCAACAAATAATCAAAAAATCTTATAAAATAATAAATATTTATTATCTAATGAACATTTATATTAACATTTTTTAATTTTTTGAAAATTATTAATTAAATTTACATTTATGTTGTTGAAAAAAATGAAACAAATATAAAAAATAATATTTTAATAATATGAATTATTATTTTATGATTGTTAAAATCTTTTTAATTAAACAATTTATATATTTTTAGATTTTTGACAATTAATTCACGAATTATTCAAAAAAACTCGCAAATTGACAAATAATAGATATAAGTCCTGATCTTGGATCCAATCTATGGATTTGGATCCTAATCTTGGACCCATGACGGGTTTTGTCGAGGTCTAATCTGCAGGTCGCTGGTTTTAGTCGGCTATTCATCTATGTAACTAGATGACGGCCTACGATGGCAATGGCCCCTGTCCTGTCCATATTCGGTAGTATGTAGTCATAGACCTAAAAAAGCGTAAAATTCATGGCGCAAATAAATTACATGTTATATCGGACCTGCTCGGAATCACGTAGACAGGGGGGTAGACAGCACAGCGCCAAGGATTGATTGATTAAGTGGTGGCTGAGATCACGCCGGGCAAACATGCGACGCAAACCCAGCTATTCGTATTGTAGGATAGCACATTTGTAACCTGAGTACTGCTAGTTTCTGACCGTAATATCCGGCGTGTTGCAATTATTTACCCTCGTTGACGGCCAGAACCCCCTTTCACTCCTAGGTCTTTGGACGGCCCTACCCGATCAGCCGGCCCTCAGTTCAGCTGACACTGTCTTGCACCTGGTCGAACAAGCGTGCCATGCCAGCTAATTCAAGCATTGACAGGCGTTCGACTCCACGGAGTCTCGCAGAAGTTCTATGGGCCTGTGACTTGGCATGTCTCCAGCAGCAGATAAGGGAGAAAGCGAACGATTTATTTTCCAGCCAGGTCAACGATGTGAAGGTCTGGTCCGTCACGTATAAATGTATACAGACAGAAGGATGTGAGGAGAGGTTTCCCCTGTTCACCTATAACATACACGAATTGACTTAATCGACTATTCTAGTGATTGTGGAGCACAATATTGACAGCCTGGACCGGTTATTCCCGATTGAAGGCGTTGCATCTAATGGTCATAAGGTCAGGACAAGGACATTCCTAGGCATATTCTCCCATGATAAATCCGGCGCTGACGCGACAGCAAGCCACATGATTTGTTTTAGTGCGTTCCATTTGGTCTAGATGTCGTTTGCCAGATTCTCACGGAATGGTTCCAGTATCATTTAGCAGCGCCACATACAGGATCGCCTTCTGATCACCCAGTCCACCTTTATGGAGCTTTTTACGCAGCTGAACATCTTCCCGTACTTTCTTAATACAGTGTTGGCATTTGGGCTCCGTCCTCAAGACACCGATACCACGTGGACCAATTTCCATTGTCGCCATTCTGGCTTAGAGAGCCCTGCAGGAGAGGACCGCGGTGTGATACCCCTTGTTGGATCTACTGACGCTCGCTCTCTGATTACTTTCGATCTATTACAATGTCCTTGGACAACCCCCCCCCCCCCCCCCCCACAATCACCCAACCCTTTCCGCCAACGCATTAAAACTTTTTCAGGATATCCAGGAGATATCTGTCAGGAATTATAAGGGTCAGGTGATTGTGCCATATCCGCGTCTGAAAGCATTAATGACGATGCAGAGGGTCGAGGATGTGATCACCGAGTCTGCTAAAATTAACGACTTTGAGCGTCACCAGATTACGCAGGACATCTGTACCAGTGGAGTCCGGACTTTTACTACCCTTATCTGCATGGGCAAGCCAGAACTCATTCGGAAATTCCGGCTGTTGGAATCCAGTGCCAGTGAAGGTAGCCCGGATAGTCTATTACCACTGACAGTTGATGAGCTTGACAAGACCTTCCACGACCCAGCCCAAAGCGCCGCAGACAAGAAGCGCAAGGCTAAGGCATTTTTTGATTTGCAGTTTACGTTCTGGTTTCCGGTTTTCCCCCAACGTAACCCCACAGGGAGATATCGGCATACCTCAAAATTGACGATGTCGATTGACAATATGGCAAAACAGTGCCGATATCGTAGCGTCAACAGCCCTAAATTTCGTAACAGGAAGACGAGAGAACAGGACGCATCTGTATCGAGGATTTTCCAATTCCGTCCTCTGCTCCGATTACATTCATCCCAGACTGACAACGCAGCTCTTCATACTGCATCCATCTTACATGCATGTATGCTTAGTGCTTACACCTTGGATGGTCTGGAAGCACCTCAATGCAGCCACTACTTCCCCTTCACCTTATAAAAGGTAATATTAATCTCACGAACGGCTCTTCCTGACACAAATTCACGGCGAGACCCGAAGTGAGACGCAACCTAACCAGTCAGTCGCATCCAGTGAGGCTCCTTCTATATGTAGGCTGATCGCGCGTTTGCCACGAAAATTGTGCTGCATATCAACCCTACTGTCAGTTAAAAATAATAGGGAGATCTGTGCAAGTAGGCTTCACGGATCAAAATTAATTATGATAAGAGAAGTGAAAAGGTTTCCGAATTAGAGAAGTTTCTCACCATCATTATTCCTATTGCTGTTCCATATATATATCAATGATATCCGCTAGGATGACCTCAGAGCAAGATTGGGTAGCAATGCCTAAAAGTTCCTGCGCGTCTAGCTCTTATTCACGAGTGTAGCGCTCGTAGCTTGCGTCAGATGACAGTTAAAGAGAAGTGGGACATGCAGTAAGACGGAGCTAAAGTACGGCAGGGATTAGGTGTATCAAGCATATAAATCTGGCCAACATGCCCCCAAGCACTGAAGAATCCTGCTACAAAAGTTATCAGGCACTAGATTTTCCTGCATTCTCAATTCCGATCTAACTACAGCCCTTGAACTGAGCATCATGATCGTCAACCTGGACAAGACCTGGACACCTGTTTCGGATGGCATCGTCTATATCTCCATTGGATTTTTGGATGGGGACGACCCGAAGTGGTATGACGACATTGATAGTATAAAGTATCACGCGGGTGATTGGGAAGACGCAGTCCCCTGCCTCCAGTTCGACTGGAGGTACGATATCGAACAATGCGACGTACGCATCGAGTTGGGAGGTACCGAGTCATGGTCAAAAATCGGCACGACCGCGCTGGATTACGACTGGCCAGAACCAACCATGCACTTCCCCAACAGAGAAAATTGTAGCGACCTCGAGTGTCATCGTCACATCCGACATGAATTCGGCCACATGCTCGGTGCTGAGCATGAGCAGTTTTCGCCAAGGTTCCCATGGAAATTCGATCGGGACGCGGTGATAGACGATGTCGGCTCTTCCAAGGCACAAACCGACATACTCAAAACCTTTAGGAGGAGCGACAATATCAAGTGTTCTAAGTTTGACGAGGACTCAATTATGCTGTATGATATCAAGAAACGTTGGCTGAAAAAGAAGCCTAGAGGCCCTAGCCCCAGAAGTATCAGCGAAAAACACCATCTTTCTGATTTGGACAAGAGCATTATGAGACAGGCTTACGATTGCCGCGACCACCACCACCAGTCTCCTTCTGTGTCTGATTCGAGCGACTATGATACCGACTATGATGACCCTAATCCCCCACCTCCAGACTTCCCCGGTCGAGACATAGATCAGCTTCGGGGATTCTGGTAAACCATCTCATTATGTTCCGGCTCCGAGAGCTATTTTTCTGGCAATCCGGGCTGTGGAGCAGGAACGGAGGTTATCTGCGCACTAGTTATAGCCGGCTGGCTCAGGGGACCAGATGAGGCAGCACGATGATGTCGGCCGTCCAGGCGAGGGGATCTGGACGGGAACACTTTTTGTCCGGAAGGGGTGAGAGGATGATGGTCAGGATTAAGGCGATGGAATGATGGTGATGACTCTAAATCTCTAGCAGTGGTGAGATATCTAGTTAAGGTGGTGAAGCGCTAGGAGGCAGGTTAGGGACCTGGGGCTGCGACACTTTTTAATCCAACCTTTCAACAACATTGGATGGACATGGCGAAACGCAATTGGAGCATACTTGCCGGATGGACAGAAACTTAGATAAGAGTCTGCATAATGTCCTAACTTCAACCATATCTATTAGTTATTGTAGCATGCGTATCGCTTCGGTAAAGAGTCTGTAAATGATATTATCATCCATCCACTATATATCTGTGGTCATGTGAGACCTGTATGACGAACATAGACATGATGCGAATAGGTAGCGTGATTAGAACGGTTACGAAACCGGCCTCCTAAACTCCATGACTATCCCACGACTTGGAATTTGAGATGATAAAGGCGATTTTAAAGAGTACCATCAATCGATGGCCTTTATAAACTCTTTCTTATGGCTTGTCCATCGACAATATATCATTTTAATATAGGTTGATGATGTACTTTGTTGTCGAACTCGTCGTGATTTGTAGTATTTGCCAAGAGCATGACGATTTCCTATTTTACCAGATCCACGATATCAAATCAGAAGGCCAAAGCCTACCATGTAAACAGCCGTGCTGAATATAATGAACAACTTAAGGCGACGGCTCTTGGAAATGACAAGGCCAAGGAGAGGACCTGCAACGACGAGGACGAACATAAAGAGCGATGAAATACGGGTCGCAGCGGTAACTCCAAAGTCAAACGAGCTAATAGGCATCGTATAGAGGTAATTGGACTGCAGGTGATATCCAAAATTCCGGGACACAGCATTGCCTAAGGCAGCCCGGACGGCACGATCCTTCATGAGAGTCATGGGAATGAGGGATCCAGAAGCTTTGAGCTCCCAGTAGATAAAGGCCGGGACGCAGAAACCGCTAACTACTATGGGCGCAATGATATACTTTTCCATTTGTCCTTGAGGCCACCAGCGATGGTGAGCGGCGCAAGGAAGCGCAAAGATCGCGACGAGAGGGATAATCCCGACAACATCAAGCATCTAAAAGAGCCGGACTAGGAATTTCCAAACACCGAGCACTTTTATTGGAGATTTATGATTCCGGTGGTTAACCTGATTCTGTTTCTTGGTGCGTTGGAGAATAGCCAGGAGACTGATGATGAGTGGCAGGGCGCTCGCAGGAAGAATAATACACCACATCCCAATGCCCCACTGCCAATTGGTGACGCTCAGAACAGTATTCGCGACGTTACCGCTAACCCAGGTGGTGATAAGCGCTGGGGCAATCGGGGTGTAGCTGAAAAAAACGCGCGAACGGGTCGAAGTGAGGTCTGAAACGATAATTGAATTCAATATCTTGAGCATGCTCTGGCCGCATTTGAAGATAACGCTTCCACCAGCATAGGTAGATATATTCTTCGAGAATGCCACCACCACAGTCCCAATCACATAGAGAAATACGGAAAAACCAACCAGTTCAACTTGACCGAAGATGTCAGCGATTATGGCGGTTGTCGGCTGGGCCGCGACGGCAACCACGGAAAGAATGACATTGATAGTCGACAAGAGGGAATGTTCGCCGAAGGAGGAGGTGGCATAAGGTTCGTATGTGTCGCGTACTAGGTTGTCGAGCCGTAGGCGAACCCGAGAATAAAGATGCTGGAGAAGACGGCGATTCGCTCAACGAGGGCGAGGGAAGAGTTGAGTGTTTTGATCCGAGTAGCATCCGGCGATCGGAGGTCGTCGAAAGAGGGAGAAAGAAACTCTGTTTGAGTCGGGCGCTCAGGGTCTGTGACAGGGGACTTGGATTCCGGCATGTTAGGCTACAGCATGAAATCAACATAGCAGTTGGTAACCTTAGTTGACAGGAAATTTTGCTGTTATATGTGGCGTTGCATAATTTATCTACACAGTAAATAGGAGGTAGTAGACTATTATATATTAGACAAGGGCAGCGTTGTCGCCATTTGTAGATCAAATTTGACTATGTAGGTGGTGGGATTAATGCTGTGTGTAGAATAGTGGCTCGCCTAATTACATATTGGTGGGACTCTCCATGTGGTTACAGGGCCTATCCTACTCTTTCTTATAAAAATAACTACAGATTTGAAATAAAATATATCCAAATTCATTTCTTCGACACATATCTAGTCGGCACTCAATACAACCCATAACCCAACGACGTCTCATTCCACAAAAGAGCAACAGCCGACCTATAACCTGGACGAACCGGCACTTTATTGAATTGAAGGGGTGAAGGGTGAATCGCCGACACTTCGCAAAGCCCAAGCAAGTATAAACGGTGAGGGAAGCAAACAAGGGGAGCCACTACGCATACAGTACCGATCTGGGGGAGGCATAACTAGACCTCTTCAAGTCCCATGGGACTAGGTCAAGTCTAGTCCCATGGGACTAGGTCAAGTCTAGTCCCAAGTCCCAGTGCACTCCACTCCCGTGGGAGTACCGAGCATTTCTAGTCCCTCTCATGGGAATGGAGCATACTCTCACAAAGATTCCCCAATTCCCCGTCAAGGCCTCAATTTTGCATAATTAATCAAATTAGTATAAATAAATTCGTTAACTACTTACTTTATATTATTGTTATTCATACCTGTTTTGGTTAACAATATTATTTATTATAAATCCTATCCAAAATCTAAATAAAATCTTTTCAAGTTTCTTTGTATAAAATCCGTTTTTAATAAAAATATACGTTCTACATGATTTATAAAAATTTAATATGTTTTTAAATGATTGAGAATTAAAAGATGTAAATTACACTAAATATTTAAATAAATATATATATTTTTTATAGAGTAAATATAACTATATATATCAGAATCTTTTGAATTATAATGATATCTTGATCTTGATAATAATCCTTATATTTTTAATATTAAAGTTAAATATTTATTTTCTATTTTTAAAATAATCTTCTTTTAGGCGCTTTTATTCAATGTGAAAGAGATAAATCTCTATATAAAAGTTATAATGAATGAAAAACTTCCATGTAAAATCAACGAAAAACGACAAAAATCTTCAAAAATTATAGATTGAAAATTGATTATTAATTTTATAAGGATTATATTGAAACTAATGAGAATTGTATTGGAATTAATGAAGATTTTTTATAAAATTAAAGAAAATTATTCAATTAATGTTAAACTTGTAGAAATTCTTTTTTTTTATAATATATTAACTTTTATTTATTATTTATTAAATGAATCTAATTTATGATCTAAAAAGATTATCATGCGTTGTAAAAATTGAATGTAAATTCTCTATATTTTTTCTTTGTCGCATAACTTAATATCATAAATCAATTTAGTCAGTCTTTTGACATTGATTTTTTAAATTATTACAGAGATTATCTTGACAATCTTTTGTATATTCCATTAGATCCTTTATAATTCTTTATATCTGATCTTAATTATAGTCAAATAACAACAATAAATATTTCAATTCTATCATTTAAATTTCTTTAATCAATATTAGGCTCTGATATCCTTTGACACATTGATTTCAATCAAAAAAAAATTTATATATTTTATAAAATTATATCAAAAAAATAATTTATCTTTTGATAACTGCAGACACAATATGCAATTATAAAAAAAAATAAAAGAATTCATTGAAATGCAAAACATATTTTAAATGTATGAAGTTATTTTGATCAAATAATCTATCAGTTTATTGATGAAGCAAAAATTATATATCAAAGATATAAAAAAATCTTTTTTTATTTACATGATAAAAGAAATGAAACAAATTTTATAGAATACTATCTTGAATCAAATTCATATTAAAAGATTGCTAATGATCGATTGAAACAACAAAATATTCAACAATTATTTGATTTTATGATATTTTTATTCTATTTAATGTGTTAAAACTTATATATTAAATTCTTTTAGAAAATAGACACATCTTAATTCACAGCAGCCTAAAAAGGTTTTTATTCAAAATCAATAAACATATCAACAAATTATTTTAATTGCTTAATTATTGCTTTCATTTCAATTCTTAATTTATAAAGACTTTGTAAAACTTATTGAAATAATTCAATTAGTTTCATCAAAACTTACATTTTTTATTTTATTAATTGTTTGTCGTTATCTTCAATCGATAATCAAAGATAATCAACAAAAAAATTTTAAGATCTTTTGCTAAAAACAAAACTTTCAATTGCTTTTGATTATTAAATTTCTTCATTTCAACAAATCTTTATAACAATCATTAATTATTCTATTAATAAGGATTGGAAATATCGTGAGATTTTATTTGATTTTAAACTATTTCACAAAACACACTCTAAGATCAATTTGAACAATATTTTTTTAAAAATGTTCTAAAAATATAATATCATCAATTGAATGTTAGTAATTATAATGAATAATGCATCAAACAATAATATCTTAATTGAGAATATTTAAAAATCAATTTAATCTTTTGAATTTCCTAACCAAACTATTATTGTTTGAATTCCATGTTTAATTCATATGATTTAACTAAATTTGTATGAACTTTTTAATCAAATTAAAGCCAATTCAAAAAATGATAATCCAAATAAAATGTAATCAGATTCACAAGCACAATTTTTTCACATTAATTAACACAAACAAAAAATTATTTATATTTTTGCAAAAATAAGTTCTTTTTAATATATTCTTTAATAATCTATTAATAAATTATCTAAATCTGTGGATTTGCAACATTTGTTAATGCTGATTCACAACGAAAAGAAGTTTTTTTAAATCTTTAAATAAAT